GGAGGCAGCACGGCATATAACGTCCAACGGTACCCCAGTCATAGCTGCAAACGAGGTCGACATTCCCCTGGTAGAGTGGCACCTCACGCCGGCCGGCAGCTCCTGGCCCTGCAAGGCATAAGCCTTGGAGATCAAATCCACCACCCAGTGTGCAAGTCGTTGCTTAGAAAGCGCCTGACCCTTTCGTGAGCCAGCGTAGCAAACGAAAAGGCTATCTGTCCGTCGGAAGGATGCTGTGGCATTGATATATGCCTCAAGGGCACGAACAGGGCACAGTGGCTCAGAGGAGCCACCGGTGTAGAACCGGGCAAGATGGAGTGGCTGGGTACTGCCTGCCCCCCTTGACACCTTAGGAATAAATGTTACATCAGGCCACAGTGTAACACCTGAGCCATCCGGATTCCACCGGCAGCAGGGCTCAGCAATCGAGAGAGCCTGTAATTCCCCCACACGCTTTGCGGAAACCATCGCCAAAAGGAACGCCGTCTTCATTGAGAGCCATTTGAGGTCCGCAGATGCCAAGGGCTCAAATGGGAGGGACCGAAGAGCATCAAGCACCAGAGAAAGGTCCCATGCTGGTGCCACAGGACGAGCGGGTGGGTGCAAACGCCGAGCACCTCTCAGAAACAGCACGACATCCTTGTCTCGGCCTACTGAACAACCATTCAGACCGACATGCCAACAGAAAATGACAGCCACATACACTTTCAAGGTAGATGGAGACCGTCCCTGATCCAATAATTCCTGCAGGAAGGTCAGTATGTCAGAGACCGAACACTGCACCGGATCCCGCCCTTTATCATGGCACCAGGTCACAAAGGCCGCCCACTTGTTAGCATAGACAGCACGCATGGACAGCCCCCATGCATTAGCCATTGTACACCCTACTCACCCAGTGTATCTTGAAAAAGTGGACTCTGGCCTTGCAGGGGCAAGGCAAAACCCTGTGCCCCTTCTGATGAACCCTCAGGAGAATCTGAAAAAGTAGGCTGAATGGCAGAAAGGCAGAAAGGAGGGTCCGGGGCCAGTCGTGTGCCAGCGCATCGTGACCCAGAGGGCTGCTGTCGTCCAAGGAGAACCAAAGGGGACAGTGAAATGTGTGCCTTGAGACAAAGAGGTCTACGTCCGCGCTGCCAAAGACCTTCCAGATGCACTCCACTACCTCTTGGTGAAGCTTCCACTCTCCTGGAAGTGGTTTCTGACGGGACAGAAAATCTGCTGGCATGTTCTGTGGCCCTGGGATGTAGGCCGCTCTGAGGCTGGCCAAGTATGGAGCTGCCCAGGTCAGAAGCCGTTGAGTCAAGCACAACAGTTTCCTTGACCTGGTACCCCCTGGTGGTTGATGTGAAAAACCACAGTAGTGTTGTCTGACCTCACCAGCACATGCTTCCCCTGGCCTGGAAGAAAACTCCGACGAGCCAGAAGCACAGCCTGTAATTCCAGGACATTAATGTGTTCCCTGCTCTGCTGCTGGAACCATCTCCCCTCTGCCATTTGACCCCGCCAGGTTGCACCCTGCCCATGGAGGATGCACCCGTAAAGACAACTTTCCGACGACACGGGAGGGAACCGAGCAGGACCCCTGTCGTCACAAACCTCACCCTCCATTGGGACAGAGACCAAAGACACTGAGGCCCCTCCCGAAGTCTTCTGAGACGATGAGTGTTCCGTGTGGGGTCTAGATTCAAGCCGTTCAACCACATCTGGAAGGGCCGCAATGACAGCAGCCCCAAGGGCACTACAGCGGGGAAGCAGTCGGTACCTTCGGCACAGAAGCTCTCGACATGCGCAAGAATGATCTTTCAGTGCTTGAAGCACGGCCTCTGGCGGTCACAGTAGGGATGAAATAGAACTAATGGATACTAAAGTTGAATATCTCAGGTCAAAGCTAAATAAAATAAAAAACGTGTAAAACCTAGATCTGAAGTATTCTGGATGAAGTTTTATCCTCTGAAGGAACTGGACTGCCTCAGACTGACAGACCTGTGCTTGAGGAAAATGAATTGACCCATAATTTCACCAACAGGAAGCATTTCCTGTAGTGCTCATCCTCTTACTAGCTGCAGCAACGATGGAGTGTCGGTGGTAAATTTAAGCCTTCTGCGTCGCTGTGACAACTCTTAATTTAAGGTCTTGCTCCAGAAGTCAGATTAAATATTAGCCATCATCTTTTACAGACTGTGTAACACTGATGGCTGACATAAGAACAAAGCAGAAAAACGTCCAGTGAATCGGTGTGAAGCTGTGACTGATGGGCAAAGTGGCTCCTGTGTCATTTCAAATCATCTTCACTGTTATATTTCATTACTGACAACTAGGCAACAGCAGAAGAAGGACTTCTCCTTCAGGGTTTCCCCCAGAAAACTTGGTAAGCCTGGTGGTCGGGGTGCTGAGGTGGTCCACCAGCGATCCACTATGTTTTTGTATTAAAATATGTTAAGTTGACAGAAAATATAAAAATATGACTGGGTAATTATATGAAAACAGGTCGAGGTGACGTATTCTGGTTGTTTTGCAATTAGCTTTGCTTCACCATTTTTCTGCCTTCCTTCAGCTGCAGAAAATGAAGGATTGATGCTCCTCTATTAGCCCCATAGAAACCTTCCCCCAGAAGATGAATTTTAAAGTCTTAACCTCTGACCCCGAGGCGGCTTCCTGTTTGGGCCTGAGCCAGCGCTCTCTAATCTGCTCTGCTCCTGTAAACGGGGCTCACAGCAGCCATGTATTACTGCAATTTCCTCATCTTACCCATGATGGTGAGCTTGCGTGGGCGCTGCTTGGAGGTGATGACCTGCAGCGAGGGAGCGATGGACTGGATGCGAATGATAGGCTGGTTGGGGTCGTACGTGCCAGGCACAGCCAGCTCCAGGTCACGACACATCAGCAGCTTGGGAGAAACGTACTGCAGCTCCAGGGAGGTGAGCTGTGAGGTAAGCATGTAGGACAGGAACAGACAATTACTGTGGAGTCTGCTGAGCTTCAAAAAAGAAAAAAAAACAACAACAATAGAGACTAAAGCCAAGCAAATGCTACCAGACACCGGCTTATACAGAGGTTGAGGTTCCACCTTGCTGAAGTTAAGATGCAACGCGGATAACCCGTAATTTTAAGTTTCTCTATGAGTTTGCTGGATCTGGAGACCTTAACCAGAGTTGAAAGAGTCTGATAGTCACCAGACATGGAGCTGGCTCTGGCTGGCTCCAAATCTGCTGTTTGGATGAATCCAGCAGATGATCTGTTGCTGTTGACGTCCTGTGGTCAAATATTGTCTCTGCTCTTAGCATGCCGTTATACTGCTGGGTTTTTCTGTGCTGCGTTCTGAAATGTCCCAGCAGGGAGCGAGGTGGTGCTAGAATGACGAGCAGCATTAGTGTGTCCGTTTCTTCTTTGGTGTAAAAGCTGCAGACAGAATGATTCTGCAACAGTGAGACAACAGCAGGAGGAACAGGCTCCATTCCATTCTCATTTTAAGGTGAATCGGACCGGACCTGGATTTTAAAGTGAACTGGACCCGATTCTTAAAGTGAATCAGACTTTTTATTTAATTTTACGTAAAATTCTTAGAAATGTTCATAGTCAAATTTTGACAGAGCTTCAAAATAACACTGGGGTATTTTTAAGGAAGAAAATACAATATGTAAAAAATATCACTGAGGTTATTGAAAATTTTGGACAGCTGTAATAAGATAAGATGATGTTAGATTTCCATGTGTTTAGAGACACTCAGCAGGTCTTTAACAGCCATTAGAATGAAGAGAAATGTTCTCTGGTACGGAGCTTGTCTCTGTCTCTGTTTTCATGTCTCATAGACTTACAGACTAAGTTCCACTAGAGACCAAAGTTGCAACATTTGTTACATTTGCAGCTGCTGTGGTTCACCTTGACACTGCTCTGAGTCAAACAAACCTAACCCTTTGAATAATCTGTTCCCCTCCCCACCAAGAACCACTGAAGGAAACAACATGAAAATGTCTGAAGAAGACACTGGGTGCGTTCACACTGCAGCCTGAAGTGACTAATTCTGATTTTTTGGCAATTCCGATTTTTTTGCCGGGGCCGTTCACACTGCCAATAATTGCAACCTGTATGCGTTCTGCAGTGTGAACGGGCAAACGACCTGAAAGTGTCCCGCATGCGCAGAGGGCGCAATAACGTCAGCGTTCTCAGTGTTCTGCCAACTGCCATAAAAAGAAGTAAACATGGAGGCGAATGGTGGAGCTTAGCTTACATATTTGAAGTTGTTGTCCGGCCGGAGAAACATATTAACAACTTAATCCTCATATAGTCTGTCATGGTTGTTGTTTTTCTTCCCACTTGCGTGTATCAGGACGCATAATAGTGAGATTTGTTAAGAAACAGTGACGTTCAGTTCAGATGAATGCGGCCTGGACGTTAGATCGCATTTGAATCGGATATGGGTCACATTCAAAAAATAATCCGACCTGTGCTGTTCACACTGCCATGAAAAGAGCAGATACAGGTCGCATTATGTCAAAAAAATTGGAATAGGGTCACTTCAGGCTGCAGTGTGAACGCACCCACTGAGCGCAACTTCCTTCTTTACCAAATGGAAGAAAAGAAAGTGTTGTCAGACTTTGGTGGTTGTAGGATTTCTCCTCTCTCTTTGGTAAAAGACCATGATCCTTATCTCCAGTTAGCGCCAGGCTAGTGTGTCTGTTTTGGTCGTATTTACCCAGAATGCCCTACAGTGTAGTCGGCTTCCTGCTTCTGGTCCGCTTATATCTACACTTCACTTCAACCAGAACCAAATTGAGGTTTTTAGGGACCAGAGTTCACTTGCTTGGTCCACATCAGAGTTTGATTTCACATTCAGACTTCCACAGATTAACCGTATTCTCTAGGCAAACAAACTAGAGTTGGATTAAAGCAGACCAAACAGGACCAGAACTGGACTTCCTTAGGTACATAGTTTTTTAAAAGTTGGCCTCACAGGATCAATTGAATTTGATTGTTCTTCATCAAGTTAGGATAAAATAAATCTCACTATGTGTTCTGAACCTGACGATATGATTGAAAAAACAAAATGACCTGACTTAACATGAATTTGGACAAAACTTAATTTTTTACAGTTGAACTGGGTCTGTTTGGGATGACATTTGTTGATTGCTGCTCTAAGAACTGATATCTATTTTTTATTTGGTGGGGGTATTGCACCTGTAACTGTAGCAAAAGTAAAATCCAGGAGTGGAAATCGTCTACGTTTCACTAATAATTATAATCTTCCAATTAAGAGGCCAGGTTTTATTGGGAGGCTTCTCACAATAATAAAGACATTGGGACATTGTATTAGTAAAATTTGGGATGATGGTACTGATTACAGTTAATCCTGTTTTTTTTTGTTTGTTTTGTTTATTATTCCCACAATGTCCACCAGTCTTCATGAGTTTTAATATATCAGCCAATCACTCTATTTACCAGATGTGGCAATTAGGGGTAATATTAATCCATACAATTGGAAAAATATTCAGTCTGAATTCCTGACACTAAATTTTCACCCAATCCTTGAGATTGGGTGAAAATTTGAACTATACAGGCACAGATTTTGCAAGGACACATGCAATTTAGTATATTGTGCGGCTCTAATTAAAATGAGGGCAGATTTATTTTGCTAGATTCGGTCGTATTATGTGTGAACACAATATAAGGTGGAGAAAGCTGATTAAAATAAAGGCGAGGCCTGGGTGCGAATAAGCAAACAAAGAAGTCATTAAAAGAACTGAAAAATCATATCTGACAAAAATTTATTGAGCATATTCATTATTTTTAAACACTAACTATCCTCCTGTTTCGTAAGCCCCTGCCTTCTTTCAGTTCTGTCCCACATTATTAATGGCGACGAACTCCTCAGAAGTGGGAAAATGTACAATTTTTCTCCTCCATGCTGTTGGCATGCTGCCAGAGAGATGGTACAGATATTTCTCTTTTTCTTTTTATGTTAACTGGTGCAGCTGAGACACAGTCATCTGGATTTATTTATAAGGAAAAAGTCGGGACAAAAAATGGAAAAAAAAGCTATCAGATCTGGAGTGGACCACAGTGTGTGCAGCACAGTGCTAGCTTTCTGAAGTCTTATTAAACTACAACTAAACCTCCAGAAGTCTCCAGTCTTGGATTTTTCACATGACGTTCCAAACATTCTCCAGTCTGTCAAAGTTGTTTCCTTTGCCGGAAGTTTGGATGTTACAGTACACACATAATCACATTACACTGCAAAAACAAAAATATTACCCAGTTATTTTGGTCTAGTTTCTATTGCAAATGTAATAGTACACTATAAATAACACAAAAATAACTTACAAGTAACTTTTCAGCAAGATATAGGAGCTTGTGTTGAGTCCATAATACCCTAATACTGATGAAAAAGTATTGATTCCATTGTCAGATATTTCGCTTATAGCAAGACATTTTTCTCATGTTGAAAGTGAAATAATCAATGGAACCAATACTTTTTCATCAGTATTAGGAAATTATTGACTCAAAACCAGCTCCAACATCTAGATGAAAAGTTATTTTTGTCTTATTTGAAGTGTACCAAGACATTTGCACTAGAAATCCTTGGTAAGATTTTGTGTTTTTTCAAAATAAAGTGAAAGTATATAAAGCTAACTATTTGTTCTTGTTTGGTTACAAAACAGCAATCGGATCCTTTCCACCAACCTGAGGCAGCTGCTTGGAGATGCGTCTGAACACGTGGTAGTAAAGGTCCCAGGCCTGCGTCAGGTCTTTCACATTCCCAGAGCGCATGTACTTCCTGCACCAGTCCTGGGCCTCCATCAAATCTCTGCCGTAAGCCTGGAAAAAGAAAAATGGAGATGAAAAGTGAGAAAAAAAAAAATCAGTTGATGCATTTAGATGAAGCAACACCAACAACCATGAAACAAAGTGACATATTTTCATATGTATGGCTTTAAATTGGCTCTTTCTCAATGAGTGCAGATATTTTATTGACCTTAGAAACTGTCAGACCTGTGGGGTTCCTCAGGGGTCAATCTTTGGACCCTTACTGTTCAACTTGTTCATGCTTCCAGTGTGCCAGTTAACTCAGAACTATAATGTGTCCTAACTCAACTATGCAGATAAGTCTATGTGTCACTGGCAGCAGGAGGGGAATAGTGTCTAAATCAGACCTTGAAACCTGAATCCATGCTTTTGTCCCCAGAAGGTCAGACTACTGTAATGGCCTGCTCACTAGTGGTGGGCATGTATCGTATCATTTCGTTTATCATGATAAATTTCTTATCATAAAATTGTGATTTGCTTTTGTCACAACAAATCCCAATTAATGTTTAAAACTCCCCAAAACTGCCTGTAGTTGGGATTGTTAGTTTTACTATTTTCTCCTCAAATGAGAGCATCAATAAATGGGAAAATATTATGAAATACAGTCACTGTAACACACCTACTGTGTGGAGTTTAGAGATACAAAGCCCACTTCGTTAAGCGACTGTTTTCCTAAAGGAGCACATTTCATTTGGGTTTGTTGTTGGTTACATGACAGCTGTGTCATGCAGTCACACACTATTTAAATTCAGCCTGAATTTAAACAGTCGGAGAATAACTATTTTATTTAATTTTGGTAACTGTATGACTGTGACTGCATTACACAGCTTTTATATCTGTGCATGTGACAGCTGAAAATATGTTGCCTATATTTTTTTTCCTATTAGTCAATGATTCTTTCCTCATATTTCTTATGTTTTAAATTTGTACCAATGAATTTGATCTGTTTGGGAACTCTTATTCTTGATTTTTCTATAAAGCACTATGAACTGCCTTGTACACAAAATGTACTATAGAAATAAATTGGCCTTGCCTATGAACCAGAAAACATGCTAAACATCAAAGGAAAAGCCAAAAGTGCACTTTGTAAAAGTCTGACACCAGCCTGGTTGAATGAAGTCTCTTTGAGGGTTTGTGGTCCTCTCTCCATCATGGCGTGCAGTGGCTCCAGCACAGCAAACATGCCCTTTACATTACGCTCGCCAAAGTAAAGACGAGAAGCTTCCTCAAGGCCCTCATGCCACATCTCATGCCACAAGATAGCGACGCGGATAAGCTCCTCACTCACCTGGATGAAGAGAGACAACAGATAAAAGGTCAGGCTGCTGTGAGATATTAAGTTCATAACACAGCCTGAGCCCCCGGGCTAACACAACCACGTTTTTCAGAAAGATATCATCCAGGATGCTCAATGTTTCTGATTCTCACTGAAAAACTGCAGGGGTTTTCTATGTTTTTTATTTTTTTTAATCAAAAACAGATCCTTTATTTAATAGCTGGTAAACAAAATGCCAGGTTTATATACTCACACCAGGGGCACCGCCAGAAATCTTGGGCCCCCTGACAA